GATATGGGAATAAAATTTCCAGATCTGGAATAAGCTTCTTCTAAACGTCAAGTGCGTTTGGCCATTAATTACCATTTTTAAACTTAAGTAATTGCTAATAAACATTAGAGGAACTTCAGAAGCAAGATCAATAAGAGATCACTTCTTATTTAGAAAAGTTTGATTTTGACCACTAGAAAGTATCAATGGACTTTCGCACGTAACAAAAATATCTTTGTTATCGTTTTTGTCGAAAATCGTCTGTGCTGGGACGCAACGCTTGAACCTCGCAGGTCGACGGGCGGAACTCAACTGAAACGCCGCAACTGAATCAATCTGCCGATATTCGACAGATTGTAAAAACTGGTAGAAAATATTTGGAAGAGTGCAACTACTCTTTTCCTTCTACTATGGTATAAGTCTGAAATTCTTTTACTTTCAATACTCAGTCATTGTCTACCATATTCAAAGTAACTACTATGAGGTTTCCTTCGCAAAAAAAAACATTGAAAATTTTTGGATTGTTTGTTTTTAGTTAAAAAACATAATTTCTTCATAATATGGCAACATAAGGTAGTAGGTTAAATTTCTCAAAGAAAACCCAGAAAACATCCAATGGCTTTCTAAATTTAAGCTTATAAAATATTTTGTTTAATTTCAATGTAAAATTAACTCAGTTATTTTAGACTTTTTTGAAAACAGTAAAGAGAAAATATGTTTGTTTATCGAGACCAGCCCTAAAAATGTTTGCACTTATTTAAGACTCACCCTATATAGCTGAATTTTAAGTTATTGATAAAAATCATGTCAAATTATCTCATGAAAGATGAGCGAAAAGGTATTATGTTGATTTTTCATTGAATTGAGAAAATAAATATGTTGTCATGAAATTAGTGAAGTGATTTAAGCCTTTATGGAATACAAACCTCGGAATTCAATTACTGTGAACGAATTTTTATAAAAAATTTTGCATTGTATTGTTAATAAGATATATTACAAAGTTTACCAATTTAAATTCGTTGCTTTCACTTTAGTATTTAAATAAACACACATATACAAATGCATACATACAAGATAGCTCCGTATTCCGGAAAAGCTCTGTATCAGAATTCATATTTTAGGTTGCCACTCCACACCTTTTACAAAATATGTGTTTAATGGTAGTTCACATTTCAAAAATATTTTTATAGATATACAGGGTGAGTCAAATATATATCTATATTTGTTTAGTTCAGTCCTTGATTAATATATAAACAAGGGTTCAGTGAATTTGCTATAAAATTCCGGGTCCAAAAATAACTTAATACCATAAAGTATGCTAAATGGTTTTTGAATTATGACCACGTCCATGAGGACGTCAATCTAGACGTCCAGGAACCTTCGTATGAGAACCTCTAATCAAGACGATCGACTTATTGTAAGTTTATAGCTGAGAAATCGCCGTTTGCCAGCTTTTCAAATTGATAACAAATTGCACTTAAGTAATTGTACATATTAACTAACGTACTAAAAGAAGAAGATTAAATGAAGCAAGTCTTATGTCAAAAAGCCTGCTTCGGGACCAGAACTTACTAGATGTGTTGACTAGGCCCAAAAGCAAAGCATGGTCTTTAATGTAAAAATTACAGAAAAAAATGTAAAAAAAAAAAAAAAAAAAAAAAAAAAACCAAAAAACAAACCATCAAAAAAGGATGTATCTAGATGATAAATAATTTTAAATTTCTTGCTGTTTAACATATTCCACAGAGTGTTTCAAACTTTCACTAAAACATCAACATTTTGTTTCCCTCCTATAATTAACAGAAGGGGAGTTTCATTTTTAATTTGAAAAAGATACTAAAAGTCAAATAATTTGGCTACACTGTTTAAAATCATCAAAATCGGTCCATTAAAAACAAAAATATATTAACCTTTAAAATACAGTACGTCTGCTGGATCTGTGTCTATGAAAGGAATGCGGACAAAAAACATTTAAATAAGCAATATATTTTTATACGTCGACCGGCGTGCGTCACCGCAAATCGCTCCGCCCGCTCATTTTATTGGCATTGGCTTGTCGAATTTTTATTGATGGGACCTGTCGTCTAATTTTTTACGAAGAACATGGAGAGAATATCGTTTCCCCTCTCACGGATACCCGTAGCTACAAGAACGGACAGACGTACTGTACATCAAAGTTAGGTGCCCACCGTGCCGTTGGATGTATTTCACAAACTATACATTTTAGTCATATACTTTTCTAATGAAACTCGCCTTTATTTTCACTAGAAAAAATAAAAAAATCAATTAATATATAGGGTGTTCATTACAAAAAAACATAACTTTGATGTGTAACTTTTTTGGGGAAACCCTGTAAAACTCTACATAATTTTAGGAAATGCTTTAAATTGACTTACATAAGCTCACAAATTTCACTTCAATACGAACTTTTGTTCTCCTTGCAAAAATCGCGTCGTGTATGACACGTCACCCTATATAATTCGATTTCAATCAAAATTTTATTGATTAGAATATATGCAGAATAGGTATAGCTTATACATTAAATTTATTTATTTCATTAAATTTACTTAGAAAAAGAAATAAAAAAAATCAAAAAATTAAGAACGAAATAATAATTAAGAATTTACTAAAAGTACTAAAATAAAAAATTAAAAGCAACGAAAAAAAATGGGTAAACATTTTAGTATTTTATCTATAAAACACAATACAATATCACATTAATACATTCACAGTAATTGAATTCTGAGGTAAAAGTCTCTGAGCACGCCACTAAATAGTGAGTATATTTTTTTAGAACGTCTAATTTTTTTTCGAAATATACGACTAGAAAATTAATTTTAATAAATCCAATATAAACAGTGTAAAAATTATTTAAAATAAATTAGGAAATTATTTTGATTAACATTTTCTTTAAATGTATTTAAATATATGAGAAGACTTCGAAACTTTCTATTTTGAAATAAGTATTCATAATTCTCTCTTCTAAAGAAGATTCCGTTATGTTATAACCATAACTTGCAAAACTCTACATGAAATTTAAAGGCTTAAATATGGGAGTTTAACCTCTGATTTAACTAACTTTCTTTTAAGCTGACTTCTTAACATAGTATATCAGTCGTTTCAAAACTTTTGCATAATACTCCAGTTGAAATACAGTGTGGTCTGAACTATATTCCGGAAACTTTAACAGCATATTCTGTAGATAAAAATAAGTAAAAAAGTTCGTATAAATGTATGTCCTAAAAATGTACAGGGTGGGTCAAATTCGACGCTTTTAAATGGAAACACCCTTTTCTATAGGAGGTAGACAAAAACTAATATCGGTGTCTGGAGCTCAATTTTTGTCAAAAACATGATGATGAAAACCGCATATTGATATCTGTTACCTTTTCGGAGTTACGGGGTGTTTTTCAAAAATATGCATTTTTAACAAATCGCTGTAACTTTTTTGCTATGGAAAATTTTGTATTGTTATGAAAACATTTCCAAAGCACCTTTTTACGTAGAATTTAATGGTTTAAGTATATTTTTTTTTAATTAATAATTTAAGAATTATCAACAGAAAATTTGATTTTTTATATGGGACACCCTGTATATTTTTAACTTATTGAAAAGAATTTAAAATTACCTTTCCAAAAATATAACACACTTGATATTTTGCTCGATTTCTCTTCGAGATATAGTAATATATATAAAAATTCGCCCGCTTTTAAATAAGTAGGCTTTGAACGGCACCGGCTGTAATGCAAAAAATTCTAGCTGTGAGCATCAATTAAAACGAAAATAATATTTGCTATGAGAGATGCAGAATTTTATAACAATTTAAAATATATTTAACCAACATCACAACACATTTAAACTATATCTAATAACAATAAAAATAAATAGCAAACCAAGACATGAGATTTTGCTACAGGTGTTCGACATATCAACCGTCTTATGTTATGGAGAGACGGGGCAGTTTTTGAACATTTCTCGCGGAATTCATTAATTCAGTGGGGGTGAAAGATACCCTCTCATAACTGCTAAGTATTTCTATTTCTTGTCTAGATTACGCAAGAATAAGGAACCTTTATTCTTCCGCAAATATATCCATAGGATTAGATCCATGGGCACTAAGTCAAGCGGCCTCGACGGCCAACGGCTGAGATCTTGGTTAGCTATTCAATTATTCTTGAAATTGGCTGCAAAAATTTGCTGATAACTTCAGCGTTCAGAGGCGGTGCGTCGTCTTGCTGGAAAAATATGTTTTCGAGTTCCATTAAGGGCATATCGTCAATAAGTAGTCCAAAGCATACTAGTTTAAAGTGGCGAACTTTTAAAAATCCTGTATTTCGAAGGGGATATAACAAAATATCAGGTGTGCTATATTTTTGAAAAGGTAATTTTAAATTATTTTCAGTTAATTAAAAATATAGAGGGTGTCCCAAATAAAAAATCAATTTTTCTGTTGATAACTCTTAAATTATTAATTTTAAAAAAATTATACTTAAACCATTAAATCCTACGTAATAAGGCGCTTTGGAAATGTTTTCATAAAAATACAAAATTTTCCATAGTAAAAAAGTTACAGCGATTTGTTAAAAATGCACATTTTTGAAAAACGCCCCGTAATTCCGAAACGGTAACAGATATTGATGTGCGGTTTTCACCATCATGATTTTGATGAAAATTGAGCTTCAGACACCGATATTAGTTTTCGTCTATCTCTTATAGAAAAGGGTGTTTCCATTTAAAAGCGTCGAATTTGACCAACCCTGTGCAAGGATTTGTTATAATATTGGGTCTGAACGATAAACATTATTTACCATATCCATTTTTATAAAAAAAAATGTTTATTACAGATTATCAAAGCTGTGTATAAAAAAAGATTCTTTAAATTCCTTTCCGTATATTTTTAAACGATATATGCAATCATTTTGGCCATGTATGTATGTTGGAATATATCCCAACCCTGCCATTTTAGATAACGTAAATACAATATGGTAATAAATTAGTAATAGAGTAATTTTAATTTTCAGGAATTTTGTGAAACACGGAGCGCCTAGAGAAGTCAATATCGATAATCAAACGATGGACAAAGTCTTGGAAGGAATGAAGAATAACAGCCGTTACTGTTTCGATGCGGCCCAAGAACACGTGTACAACTTACTGCTGAAGAAGGACTGCTATCCGCGCTTCATCCGATCGGATTATTATAAGAATCTCCTCGCGAACGGTATACAACCCTTACAAAAGAAACGGTGAGTACAGCTTTTTTCGTACTGCGTTTAGGCGTGAGCCAAGTGTGACAGTTTGAACTTGAGGCAAGGCTCTAAAGTAAAAATTAACAATCGAAACCTTTTAGCTGTATAAATATCTGTAAATATGTAAATATTTGGAGTTCTAGAGGTAACATTACACCCTTTAATGTATTTCCTAGCACATGTTTAAATAACATATCGTCTATTTGTCATATACAGGGTGGCGCACCTCATTCGCCTCGGTTGATATACGAAAACGGAAAGATGTAAAAACAAAATTTTTTTATGGGTATAGTAGAGAGGCAATGTGCATATTTTAAAATTATTTTAAAATGTACAGGGTGTGTCAGAACTAAGATCCATATCAAAGTTATATTTTTTCTTATGGAACACCCGGTATTTTATTTTATTTTTAGATTCTTGGGCACAAAATAAGGCATTTATTATAAGTTTTTAATATGTTTAAATGCTTTAGTTTGTGATATATTTAAAGATATTTAAATATGCATGCCATAATAAAAAAGTTTGTCAACACCCTGTACATTACTTTTCAGAGTTAATTCTTGTGCTGACTTTGAAGCCAGAGAAATAAACTCTACTAAAAAAATTATTGCTTCCTTAAATGTATACAGAGGTATCAAAAATTGCTGGTCTATTTTAAATATTTATTTTACATAAAAACTTCGTTATTTCAAATACAATACTATGTTTTTTTAAAATAAGTCGAAGCAGATTTAAATGCTCTTTCAAAACTGTATTAGGGTCTCCTATGCTTATCTGGCTCAAATTTTGAATAAAACGCGATTTTTCAATAAAATGGCAATCAAGATGGCTGGTGTCGCCATGGCAATTGGCTAGTGACAGTTAGTAGCTATTGTTACGTTTTTCGTCGGTTCCGTGTGGATAGAAAGTCACAATTTATTTAAACACAATTTATTTCACACTAAATAACAAACAATAACGATTAAAAAAGACTTAAAGAACTATTTATAACTTATTTACAATTTATCTAACTATTTATCTAACAGGAATTTATTTTGAATATAGCGCGGCGATTGTAACTGTACGCGTCGACCGGCTGTTTATCTTTATCTCTTCTTCAGTTTTCAGGCGCCTGCTTATATAGGAGGGAAACAGACAATCCAGATTTGTCTAGTCAATTCTTAGCCGTTCTAGAAGGTCGGCGTCGCCGGCGTATGAGTCATAGCCGAGTGGCCAAGCCCAAGGCCGAGTTCACACGGTACGCGTCCGCAACACTATTTTCAAAATCGACATTTGTTTATGGACTTTATTTAAATTTATAATAGTTTACTTTTATTCAATTTACCTACAATAGTTTAATTAGTAAGTAGTTATTATTTTACCAAGAAAAATAAAGTAGTTCTTTGATTTATATTACGATGACTTGTAAATATATTTGATTTTCTTTAAAAAAATCCAATTAAGGCAAATTCATTTTCTTCACTTCCATCGACAGGTTTCTGCCTATAGGTTTATCATATACCACACTATCATCTCTGCGAAATATGAAAAGGAGTTTTTCAAAGGAACGCTTTTCTAGAAAATTCTTACTTGGATATCTTTGAGCATAAACCCTTCAGGCCAACCCCCCAAGCAATTGTTCTCACAAAATAAAATCACTAGTAACATATCCATTCCTTCCGCCAGCAGATACTTATTAACCTTATTGTAGGTAAATTAAATAAAAAAATTGTTATAAATTTAAATAAAGTCCATCAACTAATGTCAATTTTGAAAATAGCTAATAAGTGTCACTAGAAAATTGCCATGGCAACACCAACCATCTTGATTACAATTTTATTGAAAAAACACTTTTTATTTAAAATCTGAGCCAGATAGATATAGGAAACCCTAATATAGTTTGAAAGAGCATTTAATTCTGCTTCGACTTATTCAAAAAAATACATATTGTTGTATTTGAAATAACGAAGTATTTATGTAAAATAAATATTTAAAATAGACCAGCAATTTTTGATATTTTCTTGTATAAATTAAAGAAAACAATCAAATTGGGTAGTGAAGTTTATTTCGCGCTGGCTTGAAAGTCAACAAAGAATTAATTTCTGAAAAGTAACATGACAAGGTGTTGACAAACTTTTTGTATTATAGCATGCATATTTAAATATCATTAAATATCTCAAAAACAAAGCTTTTAAACATATTAAACTCTTATAACAAATTCCTTGTTTTATGTCCAAAAATCCAAAAATGAAAATAAATACGGAAGTGTTCCATAAGAAACAATATAACTTTGGTATGGATCTTAGTTCTGACACACTTTTTCCAAAATAATTTTAAATTATGTAAATTGTCCTCCCACGTATACCCATAAAATATTTTGTTTCTACATCTTTCCGTTTTCGTATAATCAAGGCGAATGAAGTGCGCCATCCTGAAGAACATAAAATATTACCCATAACTGAATTCTTAACACAAACATTTTATTGTGCATGTTCTAATAATATTTTTCTGTAGTATTTATTTCATGTAAATAATACTGCACTTCTAGACAATAAATCTCGGATAAAGTTAATTTTAGTCAGATTGACAGCCACACTCGGTGCATCTCAAAAGTAACTCACCCCTATAACTTTCTACTCAGAGTGTCATTTTCTATCGAATATTAAAAAATATACCGAGGTTGCCATTTAAAAATCAAAAGTTGTAGTCATTTTCGGGGAAATAGGAAGTGACCAAAAACAATTGAATACCTTAATTAACCATAATTTATGTCTTATACTAACATGCCAAAACTCGTTTTTTATCTGAAAGAAAAAATAAAAGTTATATGGGTCAACGACTTTTGAGACGCACCCGGTATATCTATAGACGTAGGACGACTTTTCATTTTGTTCCCTAACCAGTCTTGAAGATCGGTTAATAAACTCACCGGCAAAAAAAAACGGTCAACACTAAAAAAGTAGTCCCAATTTCAAAGTTAGTTTCTCGCGAACCACTCATTAGATTTTTGATGATTTTTCCTTTAAATTGTAAATTAATTCCTTCTTAACGGATGTGACGTCAAAGAAATTTTATTCGAATTTATTTTGAGCATATACAGGGTACAACAATAAGACAAAGTTTTTTGCCCGAACTTTGTAACACGCTGTAGGGTGCAGCAGCTGTAGTAGCTATTGCTAAATCAAATCACATTGTAGCCTCATCTTTTGTGAGCATTTTGTTTTTTTAATCCCGACATTATCTCTATTTGTATTGGAGATACGCTGCTTTAAAACGAACGTCTCGGAAAAATGCTTCAAAGGCAGAAAGTTTCTCATACAGCACATCAAATCACATTTACGATGTGTTTACATTATTAGATGTAGACACATGGTTACACAATTCCCCTGATGTAAATATGATACGTTTACACATTGTAGTTCAACACGTATGCACAAAGCCTGGGTAGCACACTCTCAACTGTTATATGCCGCCCCAGTGTGGCACTTCGCAATATCAAAGGGATACGAATTGATAGCGCGATGTTGGGCGAGTCGGACGCGATGTCTGAGGAGCCTAAAGAGCCCGATAAAAACGATAAGATTAAGTGCAAGATTTGTTGTGAAACTGTAGATAAACGTAGTTTGAAGTGTTCGACACAGGCATGTAGTGTTTTCGTTCATAGAAAATGTTTTGAAAACGTCTCGAAATGGTTTATGGTGGATTCGAAAAATTGGCGTTGTCGTGTGTGCTGTGAGGGGCCTCGAAGAACAAGACTAGGTTCTACTACTGTAGAAAATAATTCTAACGAGTGTACAATTTTGCGTAAGGAAATTGACTGCTTATCAAGAGAAAAAGAATTAATTAATACGATAGCTGCCGAGAGAGAGTATACGATCCAAGTGTTAAAGAAAAGAATGGGAGATATGGAATCTAAGTACGGGACCTTGGCCGACGGCGAAGGTATGATAACAAGAATGGAACAAAAACATTCGAACATTCCAACCATTTCTTATAGTGATGTAGTGAAAACAAATAATTCGCCCTATTTAATTATTAAATCTGTCGATAGTAATGTGTCTCCAAATAAAATTGAATATGATATAAAATCGAAATGTTCTCCGGGCGCAGTAAATATTGAAATTAAAAATACGAAAGTTACAAAAAACGGATTTTTAATTGCTTGTAAAGATAAGGATGACCTTAATATATTAAAACAAAATCTTGTAAACACAATTGGTGAGAAATATCAAGTTTATGATCAAAAGAAAATAAATCCAACAATTATGATAAAGGGTGTTCCTTCTAGCTACTTAAATAGTGATGGTAGTACCGGCAATGCGTCCGATGTACTTATCGATAGTTTTATAAAATCATTAATTTACGATAATAAACTTGAAGAAGATGAAAACAACATAAAAGTGGTTAAGACCTTTACATTGAAATTTTCTCTTAATGTTATATTAAATGTGTCTCCATCTGTTTACTGTTCGCTAATGAACAAAGGATATGTTTATATTGGATGGATAAAGTGCCAAGTATGTGAACATTTTAATATAGTCCGTTGTTTCAATTGTTGTAGATTCGGCCACTTAAGTAAAAACTGTCGAAATAAACCTGTTTGTCAATTTTGTGCAGGTGATCATATCAGTAAGAATTGTACTACAGATATAAATAAATGTTGCCCTAACTGTAAATTCCACAATGAAAAATACAAAACAAATTGGGATATGGATCATTCGGCCAGTGATCGTATTTGTAATTTTTATAAATCCAAAGTGGGCCTTCTTAAATCAAAGATAAATTATGTTTAGGCTTGGTCATTTGAATGTAAGATCTCTTTTCGCAGGATTTCATTACTTTTCAGATATTGTGACACAACATAATTTTGATGTTGTAGCAACAACAGAGACATGGCTAGGTGCTCATATTGCGTCTGACTCTTGTGTTGTTCCGGGTTACACGTTCCATCGCTGCGATCGCTTGACTGGTAGAGGTGGAGGTGTTGGGATATATGTAAAAAATGTATACAAGTGTGA